GGGTCTCCTGGCTCTCAGTCCAATCTCTCTCAACCTGTTCCGTACAGTTTGACCGGATATCCTCCGAATTCCAGGCACCCTGGCTGCTGTGCTTTCACCCGTGGCGGTACGTTCATGTAGTACCCGGATGTATCGATCTTGGGCTACAGTGGTGACTCGAGGTCTGCCTGTACGGGGACGGTAATTTGTTATACCTGTTTGGTTGTAATGAGCTACAAGCTGTGACATCGTGCTCAGACTAACATTCAGACGCCTGACAACAGAAGATTGGTAATCGCCAGCGTGCATTCTTTCAATGGCGATGTTCAGTGTCGCAGTGTCAAGACGTTGCGTAGGAATTTGACCTTAAAACTCCTTCAAAACGAATGCCGATGTCCGAAAGTTATCTGGATTTTTAAAGCCAGACAGTGCATGCTCTTTGCTGCACAATTTCAACTGGAAGGTGATTTTTGTTGCGTTGTGGTGATGCGTTTTTAATCCTTGTAAGAAACCTCGTCAAAATCAACATTTTCAGGTTAAGTCGATTTTTTTACTTGTGCAGTTGTGTAAAATCATGTTATCGACACTTTTGTTGCATATTTTGACGATTGTTTGAACACAATAGGCATTTAATAGATTTTAAAAAATACAAAACACCTATGCGTTTCTTTTTGGGGACAGTATATTTAAGTCTGCCAATTTTGACGAGAAACGCTAATTCCAGTTTTTACGATAAGCAACAAACTTTTCTCATCACAAGAAAAGAAGTTTATTTTAAAAATCAGGTACATTTCTAAACGACACCTCTTTCTAACTGTACATAGCCATTATCGGACAATAGGAGGGCCCACCCTGTGCACCCATAAGTAAGAGCAATATTCGGTGAACATTTACCCACTCTGTGAAAAAACCCGTAATAGTCCTGTCATGAACTGTGTTGATTGCAGATCAACGATTACCCGATACAGATGCCCCGTAGCTGATCACAAACCATACTATAGTGTCGTATAAGTGTTATTTAAAGTGCATACCTCCTATATATTAAAGCACAGGCAAATTGTAGCGCAAATAAGGATGCGCAACAAAGAGAAAATGACCAGTCTTTCTATATGCGAGCGAAGCGTCGCTCACATATAGAAAGACAGGTAATTTTTTCTCTCTGAATGCGACCATGACATGTATCAGATATCCTATAAAGTAAGTGAGTTTAGTTTTACGCCGATTTTAGCAACATTCCAGCAATATCACGGCTGGGGACACCATAAATGGGCTTAACACATTGTACCCATGTGCGGAATTAAAACCCGGGTTTCGGCGTGACGAACAAAATAATTATAGCCGCGAGGCTACCCCACCGCCCCGAAACTTTTCCTCCGGCCTTCAACCCACGAACAAAATAATTCCATGCCCACTTTGTCCAGGGGTTACTACCGTTGAAGCAACTGATAAAGAACAGGGACGTTTTCCGTTAATTCCTCCCGGGTACCCATTCACCATTGGAGGGTGGATATTGATGATGCGTATCGTGATTACATTGATGCTAGAAAACATGTCACGTTGACTTCTGTTGCAATATATCCTTAACTAAGATCAGGCGAGAGATGATCCACTGATAGGCTAAATATATCGTTCGTAACCCGGTTACCCAGTAATTATGGAAGTTGGAAGGTAAATGAAAACAGATGTGAAACATGATTGACAGATAGTATAACTAGTTGAAGCCGGTCTAAGGTGGGCCATCTCAATGTACTTCTAAACATCTCGCGATATTTTGATCTTGGATCAGTATCACGAAATTCAGAATTCTTGTGTTTCCCAACCAAGAATTATCACTCATTACTTCTCAAGCCTTTCAAGCTCCTCTTTAGAAGAATGCGCTGATCACGACTCAGCCGTCATAGAAATCCATTATGGTCGAATGACGTCTGCACTATTCAGCCTACACCGAGCTTACGTCACAACACAATTTAATTTATGGATCGGCATATTACATCGCTTGTGTTAAGTCGAAGGTTAATGCTTTTAGAATAGAATAGAAATGCGATATAATGTTGTATTACAAGCTGGAAGGTACTGACCTAGTGTTACTATGGCTACTATATCATCTAGGTAACTTAATGAGGTAAGGGGCGGTGGGGTAGCCTAGTGGTTAAGGCGTTCCCTCGTCACGCCGAAAACCCGGGTTCGATTCCCCACATGGGCACAATGTGTTAAGTCCATTTCTGGTGTCCCCCGCCGTGATATTGCTAAAAGCGGCGTAAAACTAAACTCACTCACTCACTCACTACTGAGGTAACGAAAACCGAACTGATCACCCATCTGGGACAATAAAGGTGAAGGTATTTGCTGTGTAGAGTAGCGTCCCTGGGACATAAAAGCATCTTGATCGTGGGTTTGATTCCCGTCTTTGCCTCGATCGTTATTCTTGTCGGTTTTTACAAGATTCTTCTAACAATTGCCTCACTTTGGACCTAATGCATCAAGCTGACATGTCCTGATTTCAAAAGACAATAAACATCGTATAACAATAGCGTAGATCGATGCTCATGATGTTGATCACTGGATTTATTTGGTCAAGACTCAGCTATTTACAGACCGCTGCCATGTCGGCGTTGAACAACAAACAAAACGAGCAAACATCAAAACGTTAATATCATCACCGTATAGATCAGTCTGGGTTGATTAAAACCCTTGTCAGTATTACCATAGACGACACGACGAGACAGAATCCACTAACCTTGGACGAGTCCTCACAAAACGTTGTTCAACTCCCAGAACGACTAACTGGATAGAGTTAATGTTGCATGTGTGCTTCCAGATAATAAAGGTAACTTTTTAATACATCAAAATGGAAAGGCACGTATTGAAAATAACGACGACTAAGTTTACGCCTACTGTCTCCCAGCCCCGCTAACACAAACCAGCATGCATAAGATATGCATGCATATATAAAATAAGGGACACAGCACAATTAATTTATGCATGTAATCAAGGTATTTATGAGTGAAACCGGGACGATTTGATTGCGAATATTTTAGTATATCTATGCTAATTAAAATTATGCTAATTATTACACGTTACAGGTCCAGACCTTCTTTGAGTGGCATTTGAGAAGTTGGGAAGTACAGCATTGAAGAAACTTTATGAACAACATCTTCCAGTATGTCGTGACGTCGCACTCATGAAATACATTTTGCTATCCATGAAGTTTGTCAGTGACGTCAAGGCCTGCTGCAAAACACCATTATTTCATCGAAGCGACTGTAAAATCGTTGTTGTCATTCTCTTTGTGGCATTATCCTAGCGATGCGGTAGTAAAATTAAACCCACGTTCAGTTGTATCTTTGATGTGGCCTTGGTAAAACTGTGAATTTGGACAGATCATGTACAAGGGAAAGTAAGATATGGGACATTTGAGATACCCTTTGAATGAATTGCCTCAAACATTTTACGCATTTCGTTAGCACAGTCATCGCTCTAAAATAGCTACCCGCGGTTTGGGTACATATCTTTATATTGGGTAAAAAGGCGAGAGCCCATGAATATGCGTTCAGCAATAATTATTGAACAGAAATAGATAGGTACCTTAACTTTACAAATAGACATGTCTTGATACAAAAGTTTCTCTCTGAATATTTGTAATGTTATTATTCAAATTTGGTTGTTGTTACTGTTGTTATTTTCAAGATATTTACATATTCAATTTACTCACGTTAGGGTTAATCCAATACAGTTTAGGTATGTATATTTATCTTAAGTCCCTGACATATATACATGCCAATATAAAGTGATAGTCATCAACTATTATTCTATGACTACACAATTTATAATGTCCATTGGCGGATCCAGAGAGGGGGTGGGGTGTGTTGGGTGTTGGGTGTTCAGGGGGTTCGACCCCCCCACCCCCCTTTGAAAATGACTTAAGACCACATTGAAGATTTTTTTTGCGTTGGCGGAGCCAATGGGGTGGGGGGTGGGGTGGTGGTCCTTTCAAAATTCCTGGATCCGCCCATGAAGTCGATTACAGCGAGCGACATCATGTTGTCTCCCAGCTTTTCTCATTAATGGCAGTTCCCCGAATTAACAAGCATAAAACGAACCGTCAGTGTATATCAAAAACACTGTTGTTCGAAAACGATGATGAAAGTAGAGTGTAAGCGACCAAAAAAACATCCGCGATTATCCAGTTTTATCATTCCTCTAGTCCTACGTGATATTTATCAAAATATAATAGAGATACAATGCGCTGGATAATCGAGAATGCCGTGCGAGCTACGTCTTAAAACAAACATGCAAATATACCGCACCCAGGAAAGAAAGTTACTTGTGTAAGCAATCTATATCTGTGATTTATATACCTTGTTATTTCTGATAATTGTTTTGGTGTTTGGATTTTTCTTTCTGTTATTTTATTCTAAATTATTTATATTTTTTAATTTTATTTTATCAAATTTATTTTGTCTGTAGAAAATCAAGCCAGTGGTTCAGTCAAAGTAACCTTCAACACTACGCGATTGTATCATAAACAAGCCCTTGATGGAAAACTATTTGGGCAGTATGATAAACAAACAATAAATATATACCGCACGTGAGGTCAGTGGAAACATTAGTTATTCACAGTATGTCCATGTGTCATAAGCAGAGGCAACGCTGTTGACATTCCTCAAGTACATTATTTATACACTTTACATTGTTCGAGTTAAATGTATTTCGCTTCGGTCATCTTCACTTCGGTCATTATTCGGTATTAGAAGTGATGATATCATCCCGTACTATTATGACGTCATATATATTTGTGACGTAATTTTTCCTGCTAGAAGGGAATTCCCCTAACAGGTGCTTGAAGAGTGGAAGGATAGATATTGTATACTAACCTGTCGAAAATAGATTAGTCCTGTTTTTTCATCTGTTGAGCTATGAAGCTCCCCAGCTGAATGGTGGCTAAAGAGCAACATTATTATTTACACCAGTGACTATTTTCCGTGTTTTACGGTATGACTCACCGTAGCAGTTACCTCCCTTGTCTGTCATGGCGCACTGAGCATCAAAATACTTCCTGCAGTAAACATCGGCGTGCCGACGAATATAGATGCTGTGATCGGCATCGCGAAAACAATCAACGATCGTTGCACCTCGACATTTAACATTGCGCCGTTTCATTAAGGTAGGTGTGATCCACAGGAAAATTAGTAAACGATTACGTTGTCTGCTCACACATTCGGTCCTCAGCTGGAGCGATTTGTTTATTCAATTCTTTCACGATAGACTGACTTTGGCGAGCATGCACGCGTTTATAGGACAAAATTAACCAGGTATAATGGTGTTGAACCGTTACCCCGCTATTGTGTATCAGGTGATACTCACTGTTCTACACATGCACTCTGCTTTATGTTGCAATATCAATAAAACAATTTAAAATAATCACGAATACATATTTAGACCTAGAACGCATATTACGTTTCTCACAGTGCATTATTTTCTCTCAGATTTGTTTGAAATTACAAGAAGAACATGGTATTATTTTACAGACGCTTACCGTGGATTTATTTCTTTTAAGTGCCCTGTGTGAGTGTGAAATTTCTCTTAAACTTATGACTCGTTTAAATTGAATTTTAATTCACAAGAATATACGTCTAAAAATAATTGTACCGAAGGAGTAATTTTTTAATGAGGATGTTTTGATTATCGTGGTCAATCATGATAATAATTTTTCGTGGTATCTCAGATGATTTTTCAACATACATATTTTAATTTTACACTATGTAGTATTTTTTAAGGAATTTGATCCATGCATGTTTTATATTTTCTTTGAGGTTCTACATTTGATGGGTCATTGTTACGTGATGCAAGAGTAAAACTAGAATAGGTTGAAATGGGACTAAATTATATCATTGTAAAGTTCAGAATTTCAGATTGAAGCATAATTTTGGGCTCTGTGTAAATGTGCAGACCGTACATAGTTTTGTGTTATATATATCTTCTATCAAATATAGATACATGTATTTCATTCAGAGCATTTGTTATCAAGTACACAAGCAGATACAGTTTAAAGATGAAATTATCTTGTCAAAGGACAATATTTATATCAACATATTATTTAAAGGATAAAGTTATGGATGTAATGATCAAAATGGAACTGGAATATTGACTGTAAAGAACATTGCCACATTGTAAGAATAGTCTCTTATCTTCAGATAGCCCACTGTTAGACCCATGAACTCCTTTTCAACTTATCTTTTACATAATTTTTGTTATGAAGTCGTATATTAAAAGTTGAAGAGAACAGACCTACCGTAATAAAAACGAGTTTAATATGAAATGTGTTTCTGTCATGTTGTCAAATGGAAATTTGATTCATGTGTTTTGTGTTGCAGATAGATGATATCTGGCAATTGACAAGCCCTGTCACGTGACTGTCATCGCAGTGTCGTCACAGTATGTGACCATGCCCTATGTAGACAAGTACGGCAGAACATGTGGTTTTCTCAATATTGAGGAGATTGAAAATAGTGGCAGTTTTATACGGAGATACTTCCTACTGGATCAAAACAATGAGCGCCTGCTGTACTATATGGACAACCCCAATGTAAGTAGCTGATAGCCATCAGTGAGATAGTAGCTTCAATAGTTGATTATATATTGGAGTTGATGATAAAGATATTATCATTACTAGCAGCACTGTTCAATTTTAAGGCAGTTGTTGAAGGAGAGATGCTGATAAGTGAGTGAGTTTAGTTTTACGCTGCTTTTAGCAATTTACCAGCAATATCATTGCAGTGGACACCAGAAATGGGCTTCATACATTGTACCCTGGCGGGAATCAAACCCGAGTCTTCAGTATCATAAACAAACACTTTAACTACTATGCTGCTTCACCACACCACGATAATGAGCCCAATCTGAATATTGTCAAATATTGAAGGCAGTGGTGAAAGACTTGTTACAAATGTCGTGTAACATAGTTTAATAGTTGATAACAAGGTCAAGTACAATGTGTCATTAGGGATCATGCATCATTGATCAATACAGAATAATTGTTACAAATTTTGTGTGACATATTATCAGTACTATTTGGCCATTATCTATATGTCACTCATGAGAAAACTTCAGTTTTATTATTTGTCTACTAAGTCTATGATCACAAATCATACAGACCTTCGGAGCCAGAAAGAGCTTGTCTACATGCTGCTTCCAAACATCTTCAATCCTATCAAGTTTGAGTCATATCATACACAGTGCACTTTGTTTTTCTGAAACATTGTGAATTAATCTAGCAGATAACAAAAGTGCAAAAGACAGTGTTTCTGTTAAAAATAACACTCCTTAAAATGTCAAGACCTCTACTAGACTGGACTTTTGCGCCATAGAATGTAATTTCCCTTTGAACTGTTGACATGGTTAAAGGTCTAAATGATGAGATGGGCCCTGAAAATATGCAAGATGAAACTATGGTAACATGAGATTTTATTATCTTGTTTATTACTGTTTATTAAAATATTATTAATACCTTTTATAACAGAACTTCTTGTTAGTGTCAAAGGCCTTTCCATGTCCTTTTTGGTCAAATTTGCTTAATTGGACACATTGGCCATGGATGATGTTTCTGCTATCGACATTGTTTCTCATTCAGGAAATTCTGACATCTTGTCCAGAAACTGTTGATTGATTGAAAGATTATTTACTGAAAAAAACATTAGGCTTATAGAAGTGAAAATCTGTAAGCGTGAAGCAGATACCATATATGATTTTTACTTTCTCATTGGAATCTGGACTGAAAAGCAATATGGCCACAGTGACAGCCATCTTGGCAATATGTCAAAAAATAAGGTTGCTATGCTATAGTTAGTAAAAAAGTTTTTAATTTCAGAAATCTGTCTGATTGAAACTTCCTGTAAATTTGAAATGCATTAAAAGATTAATTATTTTAAATACCAAAATATTTAAAATCTGTTAGGTGTTTAACTTGTGGCAGGGTTGAAATATTATGTGGGTGCCAAAGTAATCAGCTTTGATGAATTTTAAGGATGGTATGAGTGTAATGAACATCTGCTTGGAATTAAACAGTATTCAACAATATTTAAGATACAAGCTCATCAGGTTGATTTTAAAAACCATAACTGATTATTGCTGATTACATACCTGAACGTATTGATTGATACTACTAATTGAAAAGAAAGTTGAAGGTACAGGAAGTTATTTAGAATGAATGCTTTGTTTGGTCTTTGTTCAAGAGGAATGAAGGGAAACAAGGAAATGCTTTCAATTCTGAGACCTACTTATGTGACAAAATACGTAGAATTTCCTAACCCACCTGTAGGAAATAGTTATAGTAGATTGTTTAGGTAGTTTCATTTTTAACATTGATCTGAATAATTATCTGATTATAGGTGAGTTTAAAAAGTAAACATTTATAGTACATTGCAAATATTAAGAAATGATTTACTTGCTAGAGATGATACATCTATTCCCTTTTGCCCAGCTATTCAGAATTTTGTATTTCGTGTTTATTATTATTATCCTTTTTCGTTGATGTATTAATCATGATGATAATGATACTTCACCTGGGCCCAGATTTTCGAAGCTCTCTTAGCACTAAGATTGTCGTAAGTGCCATACATTAACATTAGCTTACGACTATCTTAGCGCTAAGAGAGCTTCGAAAATATACTCCCTGGGTGATAAATGATGTAGAATCTTTTGTGCAGGCAAAGTGAAATTACTCCATACATATCTCCATATATGGTCATAATTTCTTAATTCATATGTATTTTTCATTTTGATTATTTTAAAGGGGATGTTTAATTTTAATAAACATGTTTATCTCTTTTTATTAAATATTGAAGTTGGATGATAAACAGTGAGTGAGTGAGTTACGTTTACACCCCTTTTAGGAATATTCCAGCAATATCATTGCAGGCGATACCAGAAATGGACATGGATGATGAAACAACTTACCATTTTTACTAACACTGGTCCTGTTGAAGGCAGTTGGTCATAGGGGCAGGGTGTCAATCTTAAGATGATTGACACAGAAATTAGACAAAAGCAGTCACTTGTATAACTATAATGAAATTAAGCACTAAGCTGTTGAGGAATTCCCTGTCATATTGCACTGCAAAACCTTTTTGGAGTCGGAGCCAAATTTAATTTGTTTTTGGTCTTGACATTTACAAGCATGTCCGTTGGATAATTGTGGGTTTATATTTAGTCCAAAATGTTATACCATGTATTTAAATTCACTTTGAACTTTTAAATTCACTGAACTATTGTTTTTGGCTGGGTCAGGCTTGTTCTAAGTCATGGACGGTGGGGTAGCCCAGTGGTTAAAGCATTGGCTCGTCACGCCGAAGACCCGGGTTCAAATCCCCACATGGGTACAATGTGTGAAGCCCATTTCTGATGTCCCCTGCCGTGATGTTGCTGGAATATTGCTAAGAGCGGCGTAAAACCAAACTCAGTCAGTCAGTCAGTGAAGTCATGATATAGAATTAATATTTTGTTGTCTTAAAAATTAAGAGCACAGGTTTATGGGACATGTTTAACTTTGAATTGAGGGGGTGTTTTTCTGAGTTACCTTAAACACTGGCATGCAAAACCCTGAAGATCCAGGCAAGAATTGGTCTTCAGCAACCCATGCTTGTCGTAGGGGCGATTATGGGATCGGTGGTCAGGCTCGCTGACTTGGTTGACATGTCATTGTATCCTAATTGCGTAGATATTGATGCTCATGCAGTTGATCACTAGATTGTTTGGTCTGGACTCAATTGTTTACAGACTGCCACCATATAGCTGGAATATTGCTGGGTGCGCCATTAAACAAACATACAACGAAACAAACTAGTATACTTGAAAGCATACAAGGAAAAGCAAAGTGTAGCAGTGAGGTAACCTTTAATCCTTGCCCCAAACCAATCCCGATCACCAGGGCAACCACCGTTATTCCACAGTACACGCTTTGTGATGACTCATTGATGTGGCAATTACGTTTCATGGCAGAACCATAAATAAACTATAATTGTTAATGTAAGTTAGTGTTTCAAACAGCAGAATATATGTCAGTGTGTCAGACTATAAAATGTCAAATGTGATAGTGTTTCTCTCAGTCAGGGAGTATCCAGCGTTTCACATACAGTTTCATGATGGCTGGTACAATGCAGGGGGGTGTCGCTTTACAGAAATGTTTTGTGTGGTTTCTTGGTGTTTTTCGGTCATGTTGGTAGGATTACCGTTAACTAAGAAATAGATCTGGTTCAGATTACAGATTTATTCAAACAGAATCAATGTGTGTGTGCCAAGCTTAATCGCAAGTTTGTGTGTGAAATGTGTTTCATAGCAAAATAATTCAATTCTGCCTGAATAATGCAATTATTATATCCCTTCTGTGTGTAACAGCATGTGTCCTTGATCATGTTGATAGTAATAAATTCAGTACCAAATATGGATTGGTAATCGGAACTCAATGTTTTCACATTTGAACCCCAACTTTCAGTTCATGGGAAATATTTCTTACACATATCAAATCAGATAAAAATCTTTCTTGCGTAGGACTCTTTGTGGCTGTGTACACTTAGCGTACTGAGGTAGTTGCCAAGGTCAAGGTTGTATTTATCTGCATGGTGGTGAACACAATCCCTGTATAGTTGCTGGAGTCATCTTTATGATCAGTAGCCATGGTAACATGACACCATGCATTGGCTGAAAACCTTGTGGCTTTACACATGACCTGTGTATTGCCTTAGAAATTCAATGCCTACATGTTGGACACAGTCTTCAGGCTGCTTTCAATGTTGAAATTCAGTCTCCAGGCCATATTCAATGCCTACATCTTAAATACAGTCTTCAGGCTGCCTTCCATGCCTGCATGATGAATACAGTCTTAAGGATGCATTAAATGCCTACATCTTGGAATAAAATCTTTATTCCACTTTCAATGCCTACATGATGAATACAGTCTTCAGGCTGCATCCAATGCCTACATCTTCAACAAAGTCTTCAGGCTGCATCCAATGCCTACATCTTGGAATAAAATCTTTATTCCCCATTCAATGCACACATCTGGATTTCAGTCTTCAGGGCATATTCAGTGCTTGCATCTTTAATACAATCTTTAGTACATGTAATTCTTTTCTTTGAACTAATTCCCAGAAATTGACAGGTATGAACTAGAGTGGGTGTGGTCACTTCTTTCCAACTGACCAGAGGCTGTCATTATTAGCAGATTAGGGTCAACCCAGGCTCAGGTATTTACGCTCTGTAATCCATGTTATCTGTGATAACATGTACGTAACTATGGCTTACAGGTTGTAAGTCCAGGTAAGGCTGTTGCAGTATGCTTGGGGCTGTTTGTCACGGTTTGTGTACCAACATGCTCTCGCAACACCTTGTACAACATCTGTTACTGATAGAAGGTAATGGCTGTTGTGACCTTGATCGTGCTGATGGACAAGTTCTTTAGGGACTTATTTTAATTAAATTATGATACTTTTTTATGCCATTTCCATTCCAACTTCATTATGTTCCTCTGAGGGGATTTAGTGTGTTTGTAGTGCCTGTAGTCTCTCATACAGATCCCTTGATTAAAGAAGAGTGATTGAGTTGGGCTTTACGCCGCTTTTAGCAGCAATATCACAGTGGGGACACCAGAAATGGGCTTCGCATATTGTACCCTTGTGGGGAATCAAACCTGGGTCTTAGGCATGGCGAGCGTACACTTTAACCACAAGGCTACCCGACTGCCTAGGGGAAACAAACTGGATTGGCCAGTGAAACTTGATGACGAGGTTGATGCATGTTGTTGTACCTCAGTTCAATGAAACAGATACAACACACTTGCTATGGATGTGCAACTAAATCTTTATTATTTACACACGATGTTTCTGGGCTAATACTTGCCCCTTCATCAGGTGAATGACAGTGAATAGTTACCGAGGTATATATAGTATCTAGAGGTGTGCCGATACAGAAATTTCACGATACGATACGTCTTGCGATATCTTGGAACGATACGATTCGATTCGATGCATGTCACGATATGCTATCTTTAGTTATTTTCTTTCAAAATGTATATTTTGGTAGCAAGTAACAGTGTAAATTTTGACATAACCGCCAATTTCTGGTGAAAATTAATAATTTTAAGGTCAACGATACATATCACGATATGAAAAAAAGTATCGATATATTTATAGTCGGATAAAGTATCGCGATTATCGATACTACGAAATATCGTCACAGCTCTAATAGTATGTACAGGAAGCCACAGAGTTGTTATTACAACAGATTGGTGAGGGGATTAAGCTAAATACATACTGTTTGTACTACATGTTTACATAGAGTGAATGACCACAGATGGAAGTCAGTAACGGATATACAGTGATAGAGATTAGGTGATTGGGATGTACAATAAAAGAAATTAGGCGATGGGATGTACAGCATGTTTTGGTAAACACCATTGTTGGAGGGAAATTAGTATATATATCGTTTGTAAAACAACACTCTAGCTTCCTGTACATACTATATATACCTCTGTAACTATTCACTGTCATTCACCTGATGAAGGGGCAAGTATTAGCCCTGAAACATCGTGTGTAAATAATAAAGAAGTTGCACATCCATACCAAGTGTGTTGTATTACCCTACCAACTTCTAAATGCCTATCAAACATCTGATGAAACAGATGCTCATGATGTCGATCACTTGACTATCCTGTCTGATTATTGACAGACTACTATCTTAAACCTGGAATACTTCAGGTTAAAAACGATCCCTGACTCCAAAGTAGGGAGGTGGGGTAGCACAGTTTTTAAAGTGTTTTCTCATCATGCCAAAGATCTGAGTTTGATTTCCCATATGGATAGAATGTGTGAAGCTCATTTCTGATATCTCCTCATGATATTGGTGGAATATTGCTAAAAGAGGTGTAAAATGACACTCACTCACTGAATCTGAAGTTTCACAATATTTACCTTTCTTTGGCACGTCAAGATTTCTTCAGTTGCTGAATATGAGTCAGTAAGTTTTAAGATCTGAACATACCATATTCACTTCTCCTCTACCAGACTGAGGGTGGTGGGGTAGCCTAGTGGTTAAAGTGTTCGCTTATCACGCTGAAGACCCAGGTTCGATTGCCTGTATTTGTACAATGAGTGAAGCCCATTTCTGGTGTCCCCCACTGTGATATTGCTGGAATATTGCTAAATGCATCATAAAACCTCACTCACTCACTCACTCACTCACTCACTCACTCACTCACTCACTCACTCACTCACTCACTCACTCACTCACTCACTCACTCACTCACTCACTCACTCACTCACTCACTCACTCACTCACTCACTCACTCACTCACTCTACAAAACTGAAGCTAGTCTTGTGAAAGTCACATGCTCACAGTCTTACCCGATCATCCCCGATAACATTCCGTATTTGTTTCATTAATCTGTTAAATATCATCCTGAAAAACAGCATCTCGGCAACTTTATTTGCAAAAAAATTGGAGACATACATGCACTCATCTACTATTGACAGTGCATGGGAGTGCAACTGTTTGCTGACTGTTATCTTCATGTGTATCATTGATGTTATATTGAACATGTTGAAGTATACGTCATGTTTGTTCCTGTTTAAGGAAGCACATGGAAAACGATGGTGAAACAGTACCGGCTGTTCAAATCAAATTATTTTCATAATTAAAGATAACAAGAAGCACGTTCTTTAGCCTGATACACCAACAATTCATTTAAAAATATGTTACTTTAAAAAATATAAAGACACTCAACCTGAGTCAGTGAAATTATATCGACTACCCAAACAAAAATGAAATGCTCAATGAGAAGGTTTACATGCTGGGGAATATTAAGTGACTCTAGGTCTGAACCATCATTATTAATAGCACAGCTTGAATTGTCGCTTTTGAACAACACTACTTTCACCAAGTATGTCTAGTGCATTGTTTACTTCAGTCTACCCTCAGAAGGTCCGGGTTGGAATTGATCTTCAGTAACCCATGCTTGTCGAAAGAGGCGACTAACGGGATTGGGTGGTCAGGCTCGCTGAGTTGCTTGACACATGTCATTGGGTTCCCAATTGCGCATATCAGTGCTCGTGCTGTTGATCACTGAATTGTCTGGTCCAGACTCGATTATTTACAGACCGCCGCCATATAGCTGGAATATTGCTGAGTGTGGCGTAAAACTAAACTCACTCACTCAGACACAGTTACCTACCCTGGACATTGAAATCAAGTATGTCACTAGGTGGCAGTGTTGTTTTTTGTAATATTCTGTTTACAGACCCTCTGACCCATATTTCGCGAATATGGAATAACTGAGAATTGTGTGTGTGGTTACTTTTGTCACCAAGTCTGTCAATTTATTACACATAAGTAAATAGTTCTAAAAGTGGCAAGGCATTTTCTATCCCACTGTCTACTATATAGTGACAAGATCAAGTAAAAATTGTTTTGCAGTTCTATATTTTTTTCACGACCACTAACTGTGTAAACTGAATCTATAAACTGGGTAACCTGGAAGAAAAATCAGACTCAATGTTGTCTAAGTTCTCTAATATATATATATATATATATGATAATATATATATATATATATAATAACATAAATGGAAAAATAAAAACAAAAACAAAAACAAAAAACAAAAACCAGACAACATTAATTTATATTCAAAACATGTTATCTTGCAGAGTTTATCATTTATTGTATAAATCTTGTTATGTTAGATAAGAAGTATGGCGGAAAATGATTGATACTTGTATGTTTGTTTATAGAACCTGCCTGCAACATGGAGGAACTCTGTGGGGGAAATATTCCTACAATACGTGTCCAAGGTAGGTGTTACATGTATTCATTTTTGTTGTGAGTAGGTGTTAAATATATGACTGTATGTGTGCGTATCAAATATATTAGTGTTTGTGTGCATATCAGGGCCCTGTTTCACAAGTCTATCATAGCGCTATGACTCTCGTAACTCCTATACTGTAACATAGACTTACTACAGTCGTAGCGCTACGATAGCTTTAAGAAATGGGGCCCTGATGAACAGGATGACATGACTCTTAGTCAGGCTTCAGATGCCTGGCTGTGTTGGGTCAGGACAGAGGTACTAGTTGCCAGTACCTATTTTATAGCTATCTAATACGTCAACATCCTAATATGGTCGGGGCGTTGGGTAGCCTAGTGGTTAAAGCGTTGGCTCATCAGGCCGAAGATCCGGGTTCGATTCCCCACATGGGCACAATGTGTGAAGCCTATTTCTGGTGTCCCCGACAGTGATATTGCTGGAATATTGCTAAAAGCGGCGTAAAACTAAACTCAGTCAGTCCTAATATGGTCACTTAGAGCTAACCTGTGTTGGGGAGTCTAAACCATACTGCCTAACATTTTCATTTTCTAACTATTTACTTGAAACAATGAAATAATTACTATTCGTTGATGCTATAAAATGGGGTGTGCCCACAATACCCTAAAATAAATGAAATGACCAGACAGAGGGGAGTACGTAATCTTGTTAATCCTAACTGAACTGGCACTAATCTTGTTGACACATTTACTGGATGATTTATGGTATTACAAAATATACGCTTATACTACAATATATACGCTTATACTGGGCTAAATCTTAATGAGCCTAGATCGAGGTATCTGCATAATGTTATTCTAATATAGGTGATGACATTTTTGCCTTATAAAACAAATCAAGGCAAAGAAGTAATCAATGGAGACATAGCTTTAATGTATTACTGAAGGGCGGTGAGGTAGCCTAGTGGTTAAAGCGTTGGCTCGTCACGCCGAAGACCCCGGGTTCGATTCCCCACATGGGCACAATGTGTTAAGCCCATTTCTGGTGTCCCCCGCCGTGATGTTGCTGGAATATTGCTAAAAGCGGCGTAAAACTAAACTCAGTCAGTCAGTCAGTCTTACTGAAAGTGTGCCTAAGGGATGGGTCATTGTTACCTTATGCTTTGAGTCATCAAGAAACGTCTTTTAAACTATGTAGACATAATTTATACCTTTTTGAGTACCGTATATGACCGCTTATAAGACGACCCCATGGATAAGACGACCCCCAAACTTGACCCTTAAAATCAGTGTCAAAATGGTATGTTTCGTGCATAAGTCGATCAAAAGTTAATCCCTGCAAATAATACAGTGCCCAGCAAAAACAACTTTGAACTTAAAAGGTAAATAATCTTGTCTAGTGATGTTTAATTGCAAATTTGACGTCTCTACTGACAAAGTCATCTTCTGTTGTTTGTTCAGGCGAAGTGATACGATGTTGTTTTCTTACCCCTGGAAAAAGTTTACCGAAAGCGTAACCCATGGATAAGATGACCATATGGTCCTCAAAATTCGGCTTATAGATGGTAGTTTGTCTGTGAGATGAGTATTTATTGCCATTGACTGGTGTGTCTTTCTCTAAGCTGTTACTGATCATGGTGAAACTAACATTTCCTAATACCTGAATCCTAATTTATCGCTTTTTTGTGGTAATAATAAATAATGAATTTTTGTATAAATTATTTCACCACAATATTCCTGTCTACAGTTGGATATGTGCCAATATAAACTTCAAAGCCAGGTGAACTATTTTTGGACTGAAAAACCTTCGGCTATCTTCTGTTTGCCTTTCAAAGCATTAATTCCCTTTCTGTAAAATCTATTATACTGCAACACCCAGGAAGTATATTTAGTGGCTACTGTAGTCTCCTTCAGAGCTGAGAACTGAACAGTCTGTAATGTTTACTAGACGTTCAATAACGGTTCATACTGTTTATATTACAACAGTTTGTTATTCTCTATACTGTTTGTCAAACCCAGTGTTGTATTCTCGTGAACAAGGTGTATTCACTTCCTGCTGTGTTAACGTGATGCTTCAAATCATCCAGGAAGATTATCAAACTACATACATGTATTACAATCACCTCATTGTCTAGCATTCCCCGACCGCATCATACCAAAAGACGTTAAAATGTGGTACTTGTTGGTCCCTGCCTGGCGCTCGGTATTAATGGGTACAACAAGGACTGGTCGGCTCGGAGTCAGTATAATGTGTCTGAGTTGGGTATTCATGCTTCACTGCGGCATGGTATCTCAGTGGGCTAGCACTATAAAACCAGCTTCAGTCTGGGCTAGTACAAGCAGCCGCACTTACACATACACACTCATGCACGTCGTCATATGAGCGAAATATTCTCAAGCATGACGTTAAACCCAATTTCACCTCACATCACATTGTCTAGCATAAGTCCCGGAAAAAGTTTTGTGTAAGGTGAATATAAATCTGTTTTGTCGCTTTGTTGTTTAACACTGCACTCAGCTGTATTCCAGCTATATGTTGGTGGTCTGTAAGTAATCGAGTCTGGACCAGACAATCCAGTGATGAACATCATGAGCATCGAAAAACGGAACTGGGACATGACATCATGTGTCAACCAAGTCAGCGAGCCTAACCACCCGGTCCTGTTAGTTGCCTCTTACGACATGTATGGGTTGCTGAAGATCAATTCTAACCCAGCATAAAACTATACTCACTCACTCAGTCAAGAGCTGGAAATGTCCTTTTTTTTCAATTATCTATCCCCAACTTACTGACAATGGTTGTGAATCAAGGAAATAATATAAATCTAGCCAAAGGATCTTTTATCTGGTATAGGGGGAGGTGATGGAATGTCGGCCATGTTGAGTGGTGGTCTTTGTGATCTCAACCACAGGAAGTTGTGGTGGAGCATTTGTCTGACTCAGAAACCAGATAAGTCCACCATTATCAGGGATGTCCCTACAGTGTTATGTCAGACAGGATCTAGAATAGGAACTTTCAGCAGGAAATGATGATGTTTCAGCTCTACCATGTCGTCATCTTTCTACCTGTTTGCATTTTACATGGAACATTACAATACAGACCCTACGTTTCGGGTTTGAAGTAGTCTTCAGCAACCCATGCTTGTCGTAAGAGGTGACTAACGGGATCGGGTGGTCAGGCTCGCCGACTTGGCTGACACATGTCATCTCATCCCAATTTTGTAGATCGATGCTCATGATGTTGATCACTGGATTGCCTGGTCCAGACTCGATTGTTTACAGACCACCGCCATATGGCAGGAATATTGCTGAGTGCGGCTTAAAACTAAACTCTCTCACTCACTTGTTGTCTTGTGTTTGTGTGTTGTCTATCGCCACATTGAATATTCCGACTGTATGATGGTAAATAATCCAGTCTGGACCAGATAATCGTTTGATTGGTATGATCAGCATTGACCTACACAATTGGGATATGAACACATGCATCAAACTTCAAACAGTTCAGGTCAAACACCCAATCCTGTTTGATGTTGTCTTTTATGTCTTACATTTGTGGAAAGAGGTGTTTAATTGGATTTCAGTGTGTGGCATGTTAGATCCCAAGAATAGGTTTCTAGTCTATCTCACAGTTCCTGAACTACATTATTTTCGCTTCTGCCTGTCCCTTTCTGCAATCCTAAGGCCCTAAACGAAGCAAGTCAAGATTTCCACAGTTTCTGAATCATCCTTCTTACTGGGGCTCCTTTTCAATAATTATTGGAAATGAATTATTTGTTTCTATCAAACATATATATTCAAAGACGAAGCAATCCCAGCAACTAGATTTGCACAAATCTTTAAGGTAATAATGAATAGTTTAAATGATAATTTCTAAAACAAAACAAATAATAACAGACAGATGTCCTTAGTCCCCTTATCTTGACTTGTGCTTTTAAAGGATAGAATTGCTATATGTACATCCATGGGCTTAAGCCTTCAGTACAGCCTTGGAGCAAGGCTAGCCAACCTATGATGGTCATAAGAGGTGCCTGCACTCTATGAAGGTTCATTCTCCAGTGAACACTGACAAATAGAAAGGAGATCTTTATCACTTCATGTACCACATTGTACCACAAAGTATGTAAACACAGTTTCTTTTATTAAGTATAGCTTCTGGTTTACACTTTCTACAACACCAAGCAGCTGTATCGACAGATATAATAGTTTCTCTGAAGGAGAGGTGACAATAGTTGTAGTCTGTCAGTCATGGTGGGTTCATTCACATCGAGTGTGAGACGTCAAAATGGCCGTCTTGATCAATCTGATGGTATTTGTTGAATCTGGTGATTACAAGTATTAATCATCATTTATCAACTGGATGATCATATTTGTGATTATATTGACAAGGCAATTAGATACTGAGGTATATTCAAGGATTGCTGTAGACTTTCTCTGTCAGTAATAGACGTGGATGATATGTGGTTGTGTATTTCTATGTTTAGTTGACTAGAATGGGAAGAGGATATTTATGATTGGGCATGCACTCAAACTCTCTGCCATTTCCAAACGAATGCTGAGGGAGTTTATGCCCATCAAGGCAAGTTTCCACCAATATCATGATGGGGGACACAAAAATTGGCTTCAGTTGTTGAACCTGGGTACGGAATCAAACCCAGGCCTTTGGCCTGACGAGCCAATGCTTTAACCTCTGAGCTACCCCACCTTCCACTGAATGTTTAAGATTAGTTTAGTTTTACAATGCTTTTAGCAATATTCCAGCAATATCACGGCGGGGGACACCATAAATGGGGTTCACACATTGTACCCATGTGGGGAATCGAACCTGGGCCTTCAGCGTGACGAGAGACCGATCTAAGCACTAGGCTACCCCACTGTCCCTTACGATTAGAGAGTCAAAAACAACACTTAAGTATATTTGTGGATGGGAATACAGAGGTCTTTCTTGGGGATGTAACTTGAATGTCTTTGATATATATGTATATAGTGTAAACTTCACATTAAATAACCATTATATGTATATAGTGTAAAC